AAGGGGTGATTTGCACTTTTTATGTAAGTTCGGGGGCCTATTTGGTAGTTCTTCCTACTAATTTAATAATAAAAAAATCATTTTATAAAAATATGTTTAGATCACAAGCCTTCCATTGATCATAGCTACTTATCAGTTATCACTATCGTTATCGTCGATCCCTGCCACCTCCACGTACATGTGGTCCCAACACAATGTCTACGTGATATTAGATGCATGTGTTGGGGAAAAATATATTGTACAAAATATAAACATAAAATGGAGAATGATTTTTTTTTAAAAAAGATGAATATAAACAGATTTTTCCCAAAATAATGTTAAATAAATAAATATTTCCAAAAATAGTGTTATGTTAAAAGTATTTCCCAAAATACTGCTGATGTAACCGCAGTTAAAGAACCGCCACTTGAAGTGGCGGCTAAAGGTAAAAACAAGAACTCACATACTAAGCCAGACCAAAGGAGAATGTGTGTGAAATATCCCACTACCAAATAAAATACCATGTTTCTTTTGAAGAAGTAAGTCGTAACTTTTTTATTTGTACTCTAATTGTTACAAAAAATATATCAAAACTCATAACTTTTTATTATCTTTCATATGACACCAATATTGAAATATATAAAAATAAAAAAATAAATTAGACCACTCTCAACTTTTTATGAATTTTGATATATTTTTTGTAACAATTGGTGTTCAAATAAAAAAGTTACACCATATCAAATGAAAGATGCAATTTTATTCGGAGGTGGGACCATTGACTCGCATTCTCCTTCGGCATGGCTTATTAGGTGCGTTCTCTTTCTCTCTTAAGCCACCACTTCAAGTGGTTCCGGTTCTCTTAACTGTAGTTGTGACACCGCACCCGGACGTACCTGAAAATTTCATTTAAAAAAAATGAATAATACAATTCATGTATTGAATTTCCTATTGTCAAACAATTGTAAAATGATTAATGTTTTACGTAGTGCTTGATTGATTATTGTACTGGGTGAACTCGTATATTAGTGATGGACTCGCAAATACTTATTTGGGCCTTCTTAATAAATATAAGAGCCCGACATTATCTAAATAATGATGCATAACCTTTCAAGACAAGTTGAGAAAGGTTGGGCTGGGAAACGTTATTTTGGGCCCAACCTGCTAAAAATAGTAAGTATTCAAGAATGGCATCCTAGGCCCACTCGAGGGTGACCCACACGGCTTGTAGCCCAAGAATATAAATACTAATGTCAAAATAAGAGATAGAATGACTAGGGAAGAATACAAATGCCTATGGTCCCCTCTTCGACATTATTGAGCTAAACAATGGGAGTAGGTTTTTCTTCTATAATATTCATCATGTAAATTATTGGGTTGATCCTACACATATTTGGGATCAATAATATGATGTAGGGAGTTGACTTGCTCCATATAAATAATAATGAGTACAAAAAGACATCTCATGACAAAGATAAAACAATAGGACCTATCTTTCCATTTTTTTGGAAGTATTGGTAGATATTATGGACCCCAAATGGATTAAAATCACTTGGAGAACACCCCACACCTCCTTGGAACTTGCAAAATAAAGAGAATAAGTTAGAAATTATGTATGGGGCGGACAAAAGAGGGAGGTGGCTGAGCAAAACATTAATTGGAAATCAAATGGACCCCATCCCCATCTTTTTTATTGGAAAGGCATCTTACTCCATCATCCCACATGCCAACCCACACTCATTGACTTTTGACGCCAGGATAGAGGCAAGATAACACCCCCATAACCCTCATTCGGACTCCAAAGGATCTTTGGAGAGAAAGAGGCACACAACCTAAAAGAGCAAGGAGAAAGCAAACTGCCCGCAAGTTTTTTCCTCCAGTGAAAGGGTTGCTTGTTTGGTCCATAACTTGAGTTTCACTCGTCCAAATAAGACTTATAATATACTAAAAGAAAGCTCTCAAGACGAGGAATCCGTTAAGGTCTGGTTTGAAGAAATCGGAGTAGTGGAAGGCTTCCAAATCGTCCGAGCAGAACACGACCTCGCAGAAACGGATTTACTCTTCTAAGTGAGTTTTAACCCCAAAACCTTTCCTTTTATTTTCCCAATGGTATGAACGATTTGTGGAACTATTATACACTAATCCAAGTGTATAATATGCCATTGTTAAGTCATTTTATTGGTGTAAAGGTTAGATACTAACCTAGAGCAAATCTTGGAAAAAACTAGGAAACGTGTTAGCCGGAAAACACCCATTCTAGGGGCTGTTTTCGTATCAACGATTAGGAGTTGAACTAGCACCTTGAGGAGGCTTTTTAACACTCATTTCTAAGCAAGGAATCAGTTCTCAAACTTCCTTGGCCGAGGCTTTGGTCATTGGATCGAGAAGGAAAGTTTTAAAGCTCATTTAAGGTGAGGATTGACATCTAATTGCTTACAACTTGTAGGTTAAGCATGAGATTACCTAAATGCCTAAAGCATAATTTTTCATGGATTATGATGATTAAATATTGATTAACTATTGATATAGTTTCCAAAGAATGAAAATGGAAATGATTTGAGGATATATGAATAATATGAGATTAAATGAGTTATAAATGAACTATTTTGTGAAATATGCATTTTACTCATGTATGAATTATGTGGATACATAAATGAATATTTATGTATTGAGGTTGAATACTTAAGTCTCTGCTACATAATTGTAAATATGTAGAGAATTACAAAGTGAGAATATTTGTATGATAACCATAATCTTAATAGTATTGAAATACTAGTTAGTGATTATTGGAAATTGTTGATAGAATTGATCCTAGGGATTGGATTGTATGCAATGCACTTGAATATACCTCAAGTGCATATAATGACTTAGTATGAAGCTAAGGTTATGTTATGGGCAGTCCTTAAGGATGACCCAAGGTAGTTTATCGATATGTCGATTCTAGGCATAGGTTTGCTTAGGAATTGGACCTTTGTGCAAGGTGAGGAAATTGACCCAAGTGACATGAATTGTATGGTGATGTGATAGAGCGGAGCTCTAGAATACAATGTCATGTATTGGGTTGGAGCTCTAAGGATTGCATGGTGATGTGATAGAGTCGTGCTCTAGAATGCAAGGTAAGGAAATTGACCCGAGTGACATGAATTGTATGGTGATGTGATAGAGCGGAGCTCTAGAATACAATGTCATGTTTTAGGGTTGGACTCTATGAGTTGTCGTGGCTTATAGTCACGGGGAATGGGGATGGGGATCTCTAAATGAACTTGGGCCCACGGGCCGACTACTTGACTTTTATATAAAGTAAGTATATTTTCAAACGGGGTAACTTAGGGTTACAATCATAATGTATTATCACCCTATTTGAGGGTCTTGCGTTTGAAATACTTGTATATCTATTAGATGTCTGCCACACCAGTACTTTATAGCCGTATAGAGTACTGACCCCTTCGGGGGCGTCCCACCACCATTTCAGGTTGAGGCTAGAGCTAGCTTCCTGTGCTCATTGCTCGAGTGATTTCCCCGGAGAGAAGACTTGGTCCGTGCTTCCTCCACTCTGTTTTAGAACATTAATAAACATGTTCATGGATATTTTACTTTAGAGTCTGCTGCTCATGTTTGCCCTGTGTGGCATTTGATTTCAAACTATATTTTCCGCTGCGTATTGAATTGTTTATTATGTATGTTTATGGATGACTTATGTGTGAATGATATTCGTGACGCCTTGTATAATATGGATGTGGTTGACCTTGGTTGACTATTCGTGTTGTACGGCGGGTTGTTGACGTGTCCGGGTAGATAATGGATGAGTCACTGAGAACTAATCACTAAATACGTCACTTTTTTGGAAAATTTCAAAATAAGTAATATTTTTGTCTTTTCAATTTAATTTAGTAATATTCATAGGAAAAGGCCATGTTCTATAGATCAGGATTAATTAATTAAAATATAAATACATTTTGAAATTAAAAAAAAATAAAAATTAGATCTAAAAGGTATTTCATCCACAATACAAGATTAAGCATGACTTTTTTTATATCAATTTATTTTCAATATTTAAAAGCATAGATAAATTAACAACTATTACTCTAACATTTCAATTCTAAAGTATAAAATAATTTAGATGAAACTAACTATATTAATAAGGTGAGATAATCAAAATAAAGAAACAAAATACGGAGTATAAATAAAGAATCATGAAGTGGATCAACTGAAAAAAGAAATGAGTTCAACCTCTATATATGCTTAGAAGTGGGGGAACAATAAATTAAAATAGGGACAAAATTGTCAGACAATGGGCAAAAATGGGTGCGCCAAGTAGTAACGGGGTGCGCGCAGCACGACAGAATAATAAACGTCAATAAACCTAGCGTTTAGGTGTTGGCCTTTCCGTTTCCGTATTAATATTCCGAGGATACCCCGTTTTTCTTTTGTTCAATCTTACTATCTCCGCCCCCAAAATTTGGGACAAGAGAAAGTGGCACAGTTATTAATAAAAGTGGGTTTATGTGGTTGATATTGAATTGATAAAGTAAAAACAAAATAAGAATGCTTTAGAACCACACAAATTTTACCAAATAAGGTATGCGACAATCTTAGCGGAACGGATCGAAAAGGTAAAATGGGACAATCATAACGGGACGGAAGGAGTATTACTTGCAGAGTCTCAGACTTCTTTTCAAAGGAAAACTACACCTGCCAATTTGCCACTCAATCTCGATCTATTCCATTGAATGAAAGGATATTCTCTTCCGTTTATTTTTTAACCGTGAGTATCGAATGTCCTATAACTATTTCTCTAATTTTTATCCGTGTATTCTATTGGAACATAAGATATAGTTATACTATTATTATTAATATTACGTGTACATATTCTTATTTGTACTTATCATGTACTACAGTTGTACTACCTTAGCACTTATCTTATTCCGTATGATTAGCATGTACGTAGCTAGGTAGTTGTTAGGAGTTCTTATCCTACTGGCTCGAGTGATGTATATATATACTACCACAAGTGTACGTATCATACACGATCAATAATATACATTTCATATTTCTACATGGTATCAAGAGCCAATCTCTAAAGAGTAGTTTTTTTTTTCCTTGATTCTCTTCCGTCATGAACATCACTCCAACTACCACGGTGGTTCCCCTCACCGCCACCACCCATTTCCCCATCAAGCTCACCACATCTAACTTTCCGGTGTGGAAGTGTCAAGTCTACTCCGCCCTGGTTGGTCTTGGACTAGATGCCTATATCGATGGGACGATTCAAATACCGGAAAAATTCACCGACGATGCCAAAACCCAGATCAATCCGTGCTACACCATCTGGTTCCGCCAAGATAAAACTATTCTTAGCGCCCTTCTCGGGAGCTGCTCCGACACCATTCAGCCAGTCATATCTTCGGCTACATCTGCTCGCAACGCGTGGGATAAGCTTACGCTTACCTATGCCAGTACATCCCGTGGCCGTATTATCTCTCTGAAGACCTCGCTTGCTCGCACTAAAAAGGGATCCCGATCTATTCAAGCCTATCTCACTGAAATGTATGCACTCTCCGAGGCGTTAGCGTTGGCCCAAAGTCCATTATCCGAGGAAGATCTTGTTATCAATATTCTCAATGGACTGGGCCCAGACTATAGCGAACTTACATCCGCCATCCGGGTTCGCGAAACTGCCTTGCCGCTTGAAGAACTCCAGGACATATTACTGGAGCATGAAGCACGTCTCCAGGAGAACATCAACTCTAGTGACAATATCATACCAACGGCCCATGTCACCCAACTAGGTGATCGACGCATCCCACATCCAGAACGTCGCTCACCCTCCAATAATGACCGACGTGGGTTCCCTACTCGCAGGGGGCGTGGACCTTCCTATGCTAGTCAGCCACGATCAAATGCAAATACAACTGTTTGTCGTTTTTGTGACCATATTGGTCATGACGTGCGCCAATGCAGAAAGCTCCAACGATTCCTAAGAGATAATCAAGTGCCCCATCCAGCATCTCCGGTTGTCAACCACACTGCCACAACTCCGGCTGGCCTCGATCAGCCTTGGCTCTTTGACAGCGGTGCCTCTCATCATGTCACCGCCAATGCTGCCAATCTGCCATCTTACAACGATTATGGTGGTCCTGAGGAAGTTCATCTTGGCAATGGTAAGACTCTACCCATTACCCATACTGGCCACTCCTCACTGCCCACGCACACCCGCTCCCTCTCTTTACCTAATATCCTATGTGTTCCCCAACTTCGAAAAAATTTAATTTCCGTTGCTAAATTATGTCACACTAACCATGTTTCTGTTGAATTTTTTTCAACACATTTTCTTGTTAAGGATCGAGCCACGGGGGTCCCACTAATGCGCGGGGAGAACATTAATGACGTTTACTATGCACCGGTTCCATGTTCACCACAAGTTCATGTCACACAAGTTTCAGTTTCACCGTCTTGGCATCATACGTTGGGTCATCCGTCCAGTCGTGTTTTTTCTTCTTTAATTAGTCAAAATAAAAATTCTTTTCCGTGTAATGTCTCCAATGATAATAATTGTACTTCATGCTATCTTAATAAAAGCACCAAATTACCATTCTTTAATAATTCTATGACTGCTACTCGTCCGCTAGAATTACTTTACTCTGACGTGTGGGGACCGACTGATATCTCTATTGATGGTCACAAATACTATCTTATTTTTGTTGACTACTATACGAGATATATTTGGTTCTATCCCATGAAACTAAAATCGGACGTTTCCCATATATTCCCTCAATTTCAAAGGTTGGTAGAAAAACAATTCCAGTTACCCATTATTGCTATTTTCTCCGATAATGGAGGAGAGTATATTAAACTTAAATCTTATCTCAACGCCCAAGGTATATCTCACTACACCACACCACCCCATACCCCTGAACACAATGGTGTAGCTGAACGCCGGCATCGTCATATTGTTGACACCGGTCTATCACTACTTCATTATTCTGGCTTACCCATAAAATTTTGGTCTTATGCATTCCACACTGCTGTCTACTTAATTAACCGTCTACCCACACCCACCCTTCAAAATAACTCACCATTCTATTCCCTATACAAACGTCGCCCTAATTATACCAAATTACAACCGTTTGGGTGTCTATGCTTTCCTTGGCTTCGACCATATAATTCCTCCAAAACTCAGTTAAGGTCAGCCGCATGCATTTTCTTGGGTTACTCTTTGTCTCAGTCCGGTTATCTCTTTTACGACTATACTACGAGTCGTCTTTATGTCTCTCGTCATGTACGATTTGTGCCTACCGTCTTTCCATATCGTTCCACGTCCATTATCCCGGCGGTGCATGAACCATGCAAAAGTTCGGTTAATAATATATCCCCTGCGCAACCCCCCATGCGAAATTCCCAAATAATCTTATCTCCACCGGCCATATCATCCAATCAGTATACTTTACCCAACAACCCACCTAATTCTCCAGTACACACCTTACCCACCGAAACTTTAGCCAATAATTCTCCTCCCCAAATTACTCCAACCAACCCGGTCACCTATCACTCCTCTCCCCACACCGACCTACCTAATTCCCCTCCCCCTAATAATTCCCAAACCACCCACGTGACCTCCCCTCCCATTATTCCTCCACAAATAAACCCACCTGGCACCCCTCTTAATAATTCCACCATACCCACACACCTCAATAATTCTTCTCTGCCACCACCACCTAATAATCCCTCCCGACCCCCTAGAAACCGCAAACCTAATTCCAAATATCTTGGGGGACCTTTTATTAATATCACCACTGCACATCCTATTTCCCCGGGTCATACCCCTGCCACGGTTAAACTCGCCCTCCAGGACCCCAAATGGAAAGCAGCAATGGATGACGAGTATCTTGCTTTACAACGTAATCAAACTTGGGACCTAGTTCCACGTGGTACTCATACTCCCATCTCTTGTAAATGGCTTTTTCGGATCAAACGAAAAGCAGACGGTTCTATTGATCGGTACAAGGCTCGACTAGTGGCTCGCGGGTTTTTACAACAACCAGGCCGAGATTATAATGAGACATTTAGTCCCGTTACTAAACCGGCAACAGTCCGTATAGTCCTTACTATTGCACTTGCGCATAACTGGGAGCTCCGTCAACTAGATGTGAACAACGCCTTTTTACACGGCACTCTTTCTGAAGAAGTATACATGACTCAACCTTCGGGATATGTTGATGCTACACACCCGACACATGTGTGCCGCCTTCGCAAGGCATTATATGGTTTAAAGCAAGCTCCACGTGCATGGTACTTGGAACTATCTCGGTTCCTTCTTACTATGGGTTTTCATAAATCTCGGGCTGATAACTCCCTCTTTATTTATTCACACTCCAGCACTATATTATATTTCCTTGTCTATGTGGACGACATTGTCTTAACAGGGAACTCACCTGCCGCTATCAACTGGTTTGTGAAAAAGCTCACGGAAAAATTTTCTGTCAAAGACTTGGGGGCCCTACACCACTTTCTTGGCATTGAGGTAATTCCTACCAAAGAGGGCCTATTTTTATCCCAACGTCAATATATTCAGAATATTCTTGAGAGTTGTGGAATGGTGGGAGCAAAGGAATCAGCCACTCCAATGAGTTCCTCTCTCACTATTCAAATGACGGATGGTTCTCCTCCTACGGATTCCACCAGGTATCGCCGCACACTTGGTTTGCTACAATACCTTTCGTTCACCAGGCCGGACCTTGCTTTTGCGGTCAACCGTCTGTCACAATTCATGCATAACCCATCTGAACTTCACTGGCAAGCAGTAAAACGAATACTTCGCTACTTAAAAGGGACTATTCATTATGGTCTTTTTCTGCGTCGCTCTACACCTCTTCATCTATCTGCATTTTCTGACTCCAATTGGGGTAATATTCATGATGAGGGTCGCTCAACAACTGCTTATGCCATCTACTTGGGTTCCAACGTCATTTCATGGAAATCGGCCAAGCAGAAGTGTGTTTCTCGGTCTTCTACCGAGGCCGAATATCGGGCTGTGGCAAATGCGAGTGCAGAAATTATTTGGGTACGTAATATTCTTCATGAATTGAGCATACCTCTTACATCAACTCCTACACTATTTTGTGACAATCAAGGGGCCACCTACGTCTGTGTCAATCCAGTGTTCCATTCACGTATGAAACACCTTGCACTTGATTTTTATTTTGTTCGTGATTTAGTGGAGCAAGGACAACTCAAAGTCTGCCATATTTCTACCAAGCTGCAAATTGCCGATGTTCTAACCAAACCCTTGGGAAAAGACATGTTCCAGAAATTCCGATCCAAGCTGGGAGTTTCCAACGGAACCTCCATCTTGCGGGGGCGTATTGGAACATAAGATATAGTTATACTATTATTATTAATATTACGTGTACATATTCTTATTTGTACTTATCATGTACTACAGTTGTACTACCTTAGCACTTATCTTATTCCGTATGATTAGCATGTACGTAGCTAGGTAGTTGTTAGGAGTTCTTATCCTACTGGCTCGAGTGATGTATATATATACTACCACAAGTGTACGTATCATACACGATCAATAATATACATTTCATAATTTAGTAATATATGAAAATTGTAGACAAGAATTATTCCTGGTGTTACTCCGTATTTAAAATTTTTATTTTTTAGATCTTAAAAATGGTTGAAGTAGTTGCACGATAACTTCAACTAAATGGTGTTATACGCATATAAAAGTGCTTATTAAAAATAATAATAATTAATGTCCTTAGAAGTCATTTGACAAGTTATGAGCTGAATGTAAACAGCTATTTAACCAGACATCATTTTATAAACTGCTAATATTATCAGCCAATCAAAACAGTGAACAGAAACCGCTGTCATCAACCAGCTGACCTCATCAGCCAACAGCTAACCAAACACCCCATCATATGGGACTTTTCTATCGTAAATCACTCATCTTTATCTATCCTTATCTAAAAGGAAAAGAAATTACAGGCATGTTTTGCCGCCCAAAAGTGTCAATGTCAATTGTTACTGATTTACTCGGTCAAGGTAAGTTCCGAGGCAGGGTTTTTCCGTATGCGTTCCTATTTTGAATACTAGGCAGCGTATAACAACCTATTTTCACCGCGTGCTTTCCTATTTTAACCATATGCTTTCCGGGGAAAGTAAGTCCTTATTTGCAGTATTTTGTACGCCAGTTTCCTATTGGGCAGAATGGAGGTGGGATTTTTTACGGTCTCTATTGAATGAAAAGGGTGGTGGCCACTGTTGCTTAAATTCAGACTGCTTATTCTGCATGCTTCAGTTTGATTGGCTGGGATGGGTTGGCAAACAGTGCGCGGTATGTTCCTGCCTGAGCAGGGATGGGTGGTCAACAGTGGATGGTATGGTATGTGTTGTTATTTTGGCCTTTCAAAGCGTCATTGTTGGCCTATAAAATCTGAGCTGCGTTCACAAGTCTATCAAGGCAGTTATCGCTTAGCATTTTCCACTCTTATAGTAGCAAATGAAAAATTTCAGTCCCAATGGTTGGACAATTCGCACAAACCAACTGCATAATATTTTTTATGTAAAGCTTTTTTGTGTGCAACAATAAACGTTGGATCTGCAGTAGCAAGAGTATTTATATTTCAACATCGTGGTGTAATATATCATAAAAGCTGTGATTTTTTTTATGTTCTGAAAATAAAGATTGAGGTTGTTCTTTTCTTTTCTTTTATTTTATGTTTCTTTGATGAATGTTATATTTCTATCATGAAGATGGATGTCATGAAGTTGCACCAGGATGAAAAAGGTGAGTAAACATTTGTACTTGATAGTTATTACTTGGTTGGGATATCATTTTGATACTAAAACTTATACTGAGCTAGATATACTTGAATCCTTTGTAAGGAATTCTCTTATATATTATGATGCTAAGGACTTTTATTTTCTAAAAGTATCATATTCTTTGAATCATTACATAACACCTAAGACCTAACATTTTCTGTGTAGCAATTGATGTTAGAAAAGCCTATTTAGATAGAAAGATGTAGCCATAAAGTTGTTGAGATTGGAGAATATGCAGGAAAATGTCTGTCAGAAGAATACAAGGTTGATGAGCCATCGAATTTGATCCCAACAAAGAGTTTGTTCAAACTTCCAAGTGTGGATTCCATAGAAGAACTAAGGACTCCAGGTTTTGAGGAGTTAATAAGGTCATTTAGGGACGCAAAGTCATCAAAGCAGCAGCAGCAAATGGAGATGTAAAACACATAGTGGAGAGCCCTCAAAGCTTGAGAGATTTAAGAGTTCCCCTTGCTGCTATCAATTGAAATGAATGTTAGGTACATTGTGTACAATAGCAATAGCATCAATTCTTTTGTAATCTGGTGTTTCTCCTTACATGTTCTTTTTAAGTTCCTTTTGATTATTTTATCAGCTGAAATATGTGAAACGAATAGTTTATTTTACTATAAGCGAGAGTAAGATGTAGCCTTTGTTATGTGAGAGAAAATGATTACTTATGAAAATTGTGTAAAGCTATTCAGATTTAGTATGACTTAAAAGTAAAAGCGATACATATGTCTCGGAACAGTGGTGCCATTTGTATTT